TAATCATCAAATTGGGTCTTCTTCATCAATACAGATTCCTCATGTAGTTTAGTCAAGAATGCTTGTTCAGCTGGATTGAAGAGATGATCGATAGTGGATAATATAGTAGAATTTTGGAGTGCTGTAGTAGGTGGTAAATCACACGGTAGTCTACCAGCATAGGCATAGAAAAGGTAGAGAGGACATAGACTGCTTTGAGAACTATAGGGAACACCATTCATAGCCAACTGATAATCAGGTATTCTCTCTGGCCAAGTACGAGGATCACCACCAATTAGATAGTCAGCCTTTAGTGCTTTACGCACGAAACGATGTACAGCGCATTACCGGGAAATCGGCCGGATGCAGCCTGCATCCGGGCCTTTCACTTTTTTGTGGCGGTAGAACGTCCGCTGGGCCCTCTTGTACTTCGCCTTCAGCCTGGACAGTTCGCTCGTCCACCAGGTGGTGTCAGAGGGAGCTGGGGCTTCCGGCGTTAATCGTTTAACCAAGGACCTTGGTCCAAGGTGCTCAAGGAATCCGTGATACCCTGTAGAGGAGTGTCAGAGGGAATCCGAGAAGCACCATCAATGACCTTGGCTACATCTACGAGGCGATGGGCCAGACGTGGGGGCGCAAGAGTGCCGGCCTGACTATGTACCTCTGTGTAGAGTAACCTGTGGTCCGACCCGCAAAGGTCGTCCACTAGCTCCCATCGAGGCGAGGCGAGGAGTACCGTACAATAAGATGAGGTCAATCCAGGAGTGGTACCGCTCGGACTCAAAGGTTTGTAAGGATTCATCATCATTCAGAATCCGAGCTCCTTTGTCCAGGCACCAGTCCACGAGTGACTCACCACGCTGCCAGGCCTGCCTATGCAGGTTGCTAGCAGTCAGCTTTGAGCCCCACGCTATGTGCCAAGCGTTAGCATCGAAGATATGTAGAGCGGGACAGACACAGGCCATGTGAAAAGGACCTGGTCAAGCTCAGAGAACGCCAGTTCCCTCCTTGGCATGTCAGTGCCGTGGAGGTACCATGACGCTATACCAAAATTGCTTCCCTTAACCACTACAAGGTCTCGGAAAGCAAATACCGTGTGGCATGGAATGCCACGTTTTGATAGGACACACGCCTCTTCATTCTTACGCAAGCCGTGGTATTGATAACCAACGAGCTTGGAAGAACCGGAGCAAGGCTCCTGGAGGCAAACCAGGTCTACGAAAGAACTACGCAGCCGGGGGTGGAGAAGATCCAAAGCCACCGGCCGATGCCCTTGGTTATGCTGTAGAATCCTTATCATTGAGATGAAGCAGCATTACCGAAGTTCGTGCAAGCCCATTGTCGTCTGGCAAAGGCAGCCAGACTCCCGGATGCGCCGTCCATGCACTCGTGGTTCACCTTGCGGTGAACCCGAGCGTCCAGATTGGACGCGTTAAAGTCGAGACAGTTTGCGCACTTGCGCACTGCTCCTCGGCCCGGTGGAGCCGGACAGGCTTGTCTTTCGTGACCGAAGGCTGCACAACGCGTGCAGCATACCTTAGACCCATCCTGCCGGTGAGGACAGGAAGGGCCTATACGCCCTATCTTCGCACATCTAAAACACACAGATGGCATACGGGATGTCTGCCATCTGATGCATAGATGATTTAATACCAGTCGAGTCTTTTCTCCTCCACCAGCCGCAAGACGGTGATAGAGAGCCGGAGAGACCGACAAGACCATATGCTGGCCTCTCCAGAACACGGAGGAGACCAGCTTAGAACCATCAATGTCCTTAGTTAAGGTTGGATTACCTTCCTTAACCATGCAATCTAGTTGGTCAACAGTGACACCACGGGCAACCGCTGGATTGAAGCAGACAATCCGCGACCACAAGCGAGAACAAATCTTGGCAGTGTAACCCATGTGGCTCCGTGACCCTCATCGCAGAGGACTACTTCCATGCCACCCTTAATTGAGAAGGTGGAACTGATGGTTACCGAACCATTTAAAAGCCCCAGGGCTCGAGTACGGAAGGCCATGAATTCGGCCGCCGTCATGTCGGGCGCGTCATCGTTGCCTGAGCGGAGCTCAACAACGCCTGACTTCTTGTTGGTGGCCTTCTTTGCCCGTTCCAACCCAGTCCTCGTGATACCCTGGGGTGTAGAACCCTTACCCCTACCCTTGGAGGGGGGACCCGAGCAGAGGATGGTACCTGGTTAGTACTTAGAGTCGCACACTCCATGAGAGATAAGTGATATCTCGTCAATAATTGTAGGGCACGTTGACCCCTCAATGAGGGGCCCTCATAGTATGCTCCGCAGGGAGCAGGTCAATGATGGCCGATATGACGTCTAGGACGTCAGAGCAACAAAAATTCTTAACCGATAGACCAGTGAACATGTCCAGGGCGTCGTCAAGACGCTCCAGACTAGTCACTCGTGGAACCGAACCCAGGACTATTTCACTTCTCACAGTGCCAGTGCTGGCCGCTGACCTTACTGGTTCCATTTCCAGTTCCGAAATATCACCATCACGAACCGAGACGCCGTCAAGATCGAAGTTTTCGAGCGGGTGTACCGACACGTCATCATACTCCAACTCACCATCCGTCATAGAATGCCATAGGATGTTAGATGGGGTTATAGCAATTTTAGAGTTTCCTAGGGTTCCACGAGCGCTAGAGGAGCGAAAGGCCACTGTATCAGATTTTTGGATAGCCTTACGAATAGAGCCGTTACGATCTTTACCCTCCCCCTTCCGGCCCAGAGTTACTGGCTCATCTAGTGTAGCTCCGCCCTTAAGAACGCCTTTGGTAATTGCCGACTTATTGCGGAGTGCTTTCGCCTGACCGTCGATATCAACGGGGGAATAGGTCCCAGAGAGCAAGCCAGTGCCTCTTTGCGGAGCGTCATCGTCGTCAGGGAAGATAGGAGGCGAACATTCGTCTTCTTCGAAGCCGCCGGATTGAATTGCCATAATGGTCAAGTGACCGAACAAAACAAAAGAACTGCTGGCAGTGCCGTGGTTTTTGGTAGGGCTCCCACTCCTGCGCACCTTCATAGGTGTGGAGTGGTCGACTCTCCGGAGTGCGATTGTGGAGCCCCGATAGGGAACCTACGACATCTCCTGCGTTCCTGTCCGCTCTTAGAGCATGCCAGGAAACGCGTCAAGGGAGGTGTCCCTTATCATTTTTATAAGATGATCGTAGATCTGAAGCGCCGTAAGGCCTTTAATCGGCTCTTCTTGGCCCTGATGCAGCATCTTGATGCTCGTCGGGGCCTTCTATGATTGCCAATATATCGTTTTGGGTAGCCTAGTGCAATTACTCTGTACACTTATCTGTATGTCGTGTATGTCAAAAAAAAAGAAAAAAAAGGAAAAAAAGGAGCGACAGCAGCGCAGGTTCAAGTAGCCGAGCTGATTC